TGACCTGTGCCATTGTGTAAGTATAACTGACATTCTAGCTGGGTTCTTTCCTACCTTACCCCAAAGCCACAGATACTAAATATCTCAACGCAGGTGCCTTGCCTATGACAAATAGTTACACTCAATAGCCAAATACATAAAATAAGAAAAATTGAGAACAAGCAGCTCCCCCAAAAATTGCCACTGTCCAAAAGCATAAGTAGAAATAAATCTCTTTTAGCAGCATAAAGAAACAAACTATTCCAGTCCCTACTTGTCTGGTCATTGAGAACATAGTTAGGCTGGCTAACTACTCTTCCTTAAATCATAATCTTTTTGTTGGAGTTCAGCTGAGAGGCCAGATTTCTAGGTCCTATGTTTTGCCTCTTAAAAGAGGAATGACTGAAGAGCTGCTTCAAGAACCACTTCTGAAATGCTGAAACACACTGAGGAAACCCAGGACATTTGTCATAAGGCTGTGGAATATGAGGGGTAGCTGACACAAGCACACACTGCCCCCTTGTGCTTCTGCTCCAAAAATATTTCTCTATTAATTTTGTAGGTCATCTTCAACTGAAGAACGTCCTTTCTTTCAGGACACTTAGAACAGTGCAAAAATGACAGTCCCACATATGCAAAACCAGTAAGAGTCCATGAGGTAACCAGGCTCATCGCCGCCTGAACGCCCGTGATATCCTCCAAGCATTGGGCTCCTCATAGCGGTTGTACAGGGGTTCCAGCCGCTGCTGCTTCTTCTGTTTGCTCAGCTTGGTTGGATCAGAAACCTTGAAGAAAGCTGGTGCAAATTCCACCAGCCAGCGAGGATCAATAGTTGTCACTTCACGCATATATTCCTTGGTGGTCAACACCAGTTCATGGTACACCACCCTGTGAAAAGAGAGAGCAGTGTTGCAAACTAGTCTTTCTAAACAAAGAGACTCAGAAAGGGCTGCAGTATCTCAGCTTGCCCCTTTATCTCCATTTCACACTTCTTCAGCATAAGGCTCCTTATAAGCTCCAATGCAGGCTCCAAAAGAACAACCCTTTTCCTCTCCTACGTCACAACTACCCCTCAGCACAGAACTACTTAATTCCGTTTAAAACAATTATCTCTCTCCTCCCACTTCTTCCCTCTCCCTCTTCCCCCGTCCCAACACTCAGTGTTTTAAACTCACTTCCACAATACAGAGGCACAGAACTGCAGGCTTCAGGCTTGGCCTTGGCTCCCAAGTCCCATCTCTGCAAAGACTCTAATTTTAGCAGTGGAAAGAGCCAAAAGCAAACTTGAAACTTCTCTCACTGCTGAGAAATCAGCAGCCTACTCCACAACCAGCACACACCACAACATTTCAGTTACAAGGCCTGAAGGGAAATAGAAAATTACTCGATATTGCCTTCCTTACCATTCTGGCTGCCTGTTGAAGAGAGCACTGGATGGGTGGATATAGACCACTTGTTGATCAATGAGTGTCCGATAACCTTCCTGGGGATCCTTCTTTGCTGCATTTCGGAAGAAGCCACTACAAATGGCTTTCTGGACTCGAACTGTTGCCTTACCACAGGATACCACATCCAGCTTGTGCCTGCCAGACAAGAGTTAGAAAAAAAGTCAAGAGTTCTCCAGATTTGGGTGCAGCTACCAAAATCAGATTAGCAAATTTTGTTTAGCTACTACAGTGTAAGAACACTAAGAAAACAAAGTCACTACCATGTCCCTTCTCGACATGCTCACCTGTCCATAATGCCCAACATCTGCTTGCGGATGTCCTGGGCCCTGCGTAAGGATCGAGCCTGAATAAAATTTTCATAGCACCAGGGATTTGAAAATTTATTGTTCTTCCAGGAATTGTACACAGCCAGGAGAGTGAGGTGGTCACCTTCTGTCTGATGGAACTTAGCTTTCTTTTGATCAGCAAGTGCTTGTTTATCCTAATATACAAAATATGTATCAGTCAGGTATGTACATCAGAGACAAGCCTTTTGCAACATGAAGAAGGACAAAGGCTCCTTGTCACTCATACCATGACTATTTAAGACTGAAAAGACAACACAAAATTTTGAGTGGTGAGTGACTAAAGACCAAGTGATGAGAGGTCACTGGAACTGCTCTCACTAAGCCAAAATTAGGTGTATGAAAGGAAAAGTACATCAGAAATGGAACGTATAAGCACAGACTAATCAAGTTACACGTTTCTTCTGGCAAATATGCTCACTCTCTAACACCTGAGGCAGGCACACAAAAAACTCCCAAACCATAACACTGCTGATTCTTGGCTGCATTCCTTACCTTTGGCCTGTAGAACACGTTCTGTACAGACAGCATAGAGACAATTGTCAACATTTCCTCACTGCATCCCAGATGTACAGACATGATCAACATCTTACACAACATAGGCTCCAAGGGGAATTCTGCCATCTGCAAGAAATCTGTTTCAGGGCACTCTGCAACATCTTGTTAAAACCTACAGTTCTCTCAGTATAAAAGACAGCAATGCACTTTCTTCCATGCTTCCTTTCCAAAGCAAGTGTGCTTCACCCAGATCAACTTTACTCAACATGAAACAAATTATTTGTCTCTATTCACCATCATAAGAATATCCCAATGCTTACAGGAAATGTTTAGATATAAATAGAAGTAACCTTACAGCTAGGGAAAAAGAATAGTTGCTCCTTAAAAAGAAGATACATAACTACAATAAGTAAAAAGCTACCAATAAAGCACAAGAGAATAATAAGAGAAGTAAACCAACAATGTCAGGAAAGTCCTTATACAACTACTCTCACATCACCCTCTAAATATTCACAACCCAGCCAGTGCTAAGAAGGATTCTATTTTGCCTACCCTGCGCCCAAGTCGAGTGAGCAGCCCCTCATCATCCAGAGCTCCCAAGGTGTACAGCTGCTCCATAGCAGTTATGAGAGTTTCCATTGGGGGAGCATCCATAAAGTCAAAGGAGAGCAAATCGTTGATGCCCATAGCCTGAACAAAGGTAGTGAAGAAAACCCAAGTTAAAACACTGAGAAGGAAGACACAGAACTCCAGACAGATATATACCATCAAACAATGAGGCACCTTGAGAACTTTAAGCAACCCTAGCCTCCTGTCCTTACCCTGACTGCAGCTGCCGTCATGAATACCTGTGTACTTCTACACCCGAGACAATTCGCAGTGGCCCGTGGCCACGGTCTGTGGCAGTCCTCTGGTCTGCTGCCCAGCTATTATTCCATACGTCTCTCAAGCAAGATGATTCAATCAAGGAGATACAGAGGCTAAATGCTGGTTTTGAGGACTTCCTGCCTTGTAAACCAGCGAGGCATAGCAGGTCCAATGGACACTAGATGTGCCTCCACTTGCTCCCGGAAAGGGGAGAGGCAGCAACTTCTGCAGCTGCTGTGAACTGCATTAGATACAGTTTGCAGACTCCCACCAGGATGGCCCACACTTAGATGATGCCTATGTTTAGAGGTCAAAAACCACTCTAAAGCAGTATGTCTTATCTGTTAACAGCATACCTGCACCTTACATAGGAAATGTGTATTGCCCTTAAGATCCTATTTCTCAAACCTCCTGCAACTAACTCAGCTGTTCTGTGCAGCTGAGATTTGTATTTTAGGTGGACATTCAACACTATAAGCCTCAATAGAAAAACACTTGAGGAAGCTCAGTGCCCAAGAACTGCATTTGATGCAGTCTCCAAAATAGCTCTGTTCACTAGAAGGATCTGAAATGACATCAATCCTTCATGAGGCTCATAAAGACACAGACTCATTTATTGAAATGCTTATGATCATGTTGGCTTGCTACACAGTGGTGAAATACTCACTTTCAGGGAAAGTACTGTACTGGCCAAATTTGTTCTCTGGATTTCAGGCACATTGGTGGTCAGCATTTCATCTCGATAAGCACGCTCTGTGTATAACCTATAGCATTTTCCTGGTCCTGTTCTCCCAGCCCTTCCTGCTCGCTGCTTTGCTTGAGCCTAAAGGTAAGGAGGCATCTCAATGAAGAGGTGCAAACAGGCACAGGTGAAAAGAAATTTAAATATTACTAATAATTCACAGTTTTACTTATATTAATAGCAAGATGCTTCAAATACAACCCAGGAAAGCAAGTATTTTTCAGCCACAGGCTGAAGGAGTCTCAGGCAGCTACCAAAAATATGGTTTTATCATTGCCTCACTTTGCTTCCACATGTTTGGATGCCACATCATCAAAATACACATTGCCAGCACTAAAAAAAACCAAGTCAAACACAAAATGCCTACCTGAGAAATTGGTGTAACAACCAGCTGGTCAATTCCAGTCTTGGAGTTATAAACTTTCTGCTTCACAAAGCCAGGATCAACTACATAATATATTCCATCAATAGTCAAAGATGTCTCAGCAATGTTAGTGGCAATGACAACCTGCAAAAACCAGCTTGATTCAGTACCAGTTCTGTCTCTCGTTGCCAAGCCAACCACGCTGTTCAACTTCAAAACCCCATCTTATATAGTATGAGCAGTTTATTATAAATGTAACTACTACAATCTAGGATTGAAAGGAAACATGGTCACAGAGGAATAGAAAGAATTGTTATCTACAAAGATGGAATCTACTTTTATTTAGGTTTGGGTTATGGGAAAAGAGCATGATAAAATCCCTAATTAAAAGCCAGTGGAAGATCACTGTAAGTTTGTAAGCAGAGTGCACAGACTTCAGGGGGAATTTTTGCCTGTCACTCAAACACAGTCCATATTTAAAGAGGAATCCCCCAGAGAATATAACTCTAGATATTCATTAGCTATTTGGTAGGATATTTACATCCATCCAACAGGAACAGTGCTTAGATTTCGCTAAAGTTAATATACTTTAAAGGCAGCATTAAAAAAAAA